TGATTGATTGACTGACTGATTGATTGATTTATTTTAGTGTATGGATAAATTATACAAATGATATACAGCTTTTGTTCTGATCAAATTTGGAAAAGGAATATTTCCCAGAAAGAAAAAATGCCAGTAGGCCCTAAACACAATTTCAATAGCAATGGACGTAAAACTGTGCACCTATATAGATCCTTAAAGAACTGCACAAATAGTTGTCGGTTAAAGAACTACATGTATTACAAAGAGTTACATTGTAGATTTTTCACGCATTGTATCTTTGTTAGAACGATTGTTGCATTGTTTTTACACGTTGAGCCTTGAGTAGGCCTATGTTTACAAATATCTTGCGGTCATTTTGACAGCACTCTGTGAAAATTGGCCGAGCTGCTCCTCCATTTTCCAAATAAATGTCAATGTAAGAATGTATTTTGTACTTAGTGTGCTTTAATGTCCATTAGGCGAAACGCATTTGGACTTGAACTTTAAATGACCCAATTAATAGTACCAGATTGACTTGAAAGTTTACATTTGTACTGCCTGTGCATTCCAAGTTTTTTATCATATCGAGAACTAGACAGTCGACTTCAGGGGCAGAAGCCAGCCTCCCCCGGCCTGTGAAATGGTCAAACAAATCCTTAAAAGCTGTACAGAATTTTTCGTGTATTCTAACGTTTCTTTTATGTGGAATTTTTACAGCATGACGGCCATTTGCGGCTTGTTGGAAATCTGCGAAACTAAGGCTGGCGAGGTAGTGGTAGTCAGCGGTGCAGCTGGGGCAGTCGGTAACGTGGTAGGACAAATTGGCAAGATCAAGGTTAGTCCTGTTTAGAAGAAAGTATGAGGATTCATTTGGGAAAGATGATTATATCCTCTTTAAAATTAGTTGATTACCTATTCAGCAGGTTATCATACATTACATGTATTGAAACGATAACAGAGAGCATTTGGTATATATTTATTCCAATTGGATATTGTACATCCGCATTATAAAGAAACCCCCGTATATATTCCATTAAACCTCTTTCAGCAATGGCAGAAAATAAGGAGAGTTCTTTCAATTGCTTTTACTAATTAAAGCGCAGCCACAATGGACATTAACAAAAGAGTTGGCAACAGCAACTGTCGTCTATACTTTGTTGATTTGAGTGCAAACGCCCACTTTTCTCTCATGCACGACGCCTTTGACATTTACATGTTGCTGACTTTTTTTGCAAAATAGAAAAAACTTTCGTATTTTTCTATGAAGGAACTTGAATAATTCACAATGTTTATGCTTCCGGGTAGAAGATTAAAAAGTATGTTTAATTTCATCATTTCTTCCTTTCGTTTCCTTGAATGCTCATGATTTCCACTGACGTCCCCTCAAACTTCATGTATTGCCAACACTTTTTTTTCTGATTGGCCTATCAACCACTTTAAATTTCTTCTTGGTGTTTTCAATTGTTTTCATTTATACATTGTAATAGCAATTATCGACCTTCTATTTGAACCAAGTTTTACAAATGCCTTTGATCTTTTTAATCAGTTATTGAGTAAATCGCTCAATCTACAACCTTCTTTATTGCCATCAGGGCTGCAAAGTCATTGGATTTGCTGGATCCGACACCAAAGTGGCCTGGTTGAAGGAGTTAGGATTCGATGAAGCCTTCAACTACAAGAAAATCAAGGACCTGGGCGCTACTTTGAAGTCTGTCGCTCCTGATGGCGTTAACTGCTATTTCGACAACGTGAGTAGAGCGTTACACTCTAATGAGCCACCTCGTATCGCGTTGGCAGCTGACCTCCAATTCAGAAAAACCTATGTGGAACTGAAATGCAGCAAGAGAAGTCTCGTTGTGAAAAGCCAAGCAGTGATTGAGGAAACAATTATATTTGGGGTCTTGGTCTACACTGCCAGACTGTTGCTAAGTTCGCAAAGACAGACCTTATAAACACCTGGTTGCGGCAAACGTACGGTCCGGGGTGTCAGGTTCACTTTATTTGGGGCATTCGCATAAAACTTCCAAGGTGATGGAAACAAATTTTGAGGTTGGAATATTGTGTCACCGCGCAGTGGAAAAAGGAAGAACAATTTGGCAACCGCTGAATAGAATCTCAAGCAAAAGCGTTAATAAACTGTCGCTAAATACTCAAATAGCAAAATATTTTTCCATCGAAGATGTACACATACTCTATAAATGTACCAGAACTGAGGCAAAACCAACTAGCTGTGGATGTACATTCAAAATAATGGCCAATGCTTTCAAACTGAAGCAAGATATGTAAAGGTTTCATCGAATCTTGCAGGTAGGAGGAGAGTTTTCCAGCACCGTTCTCGATAACATGGCAGTACATGGACGCGTAGCTCTCTGTGGCACTATTTCAACATACAACAACACGAAACCACTGATGTGTAAGTACTCCATTTTGGCTTATTCTGTATGGAGTTCTGATGAATGTTATTTGTGTTGCATTTTATAGGAAATAGCTATGGGCAAAAGACCCTGACAGATTATATGGGAAGCAGAATGTTCAAATCAAAGTCTTAGTTTGATTCTGAAATTCTGAAAGCGGTATATATCAACCCTATATCTTTCAATCTCAGTATGGATTTACATACACCCTGGGGGTTAGGGTTAAGTACGCCACCATTGCTCTGTGCACAAATCAATGTAACATTGAGGTTCCATCCCCATAGAGACAGAACAATTACATTAAATAAAGACTTTTCACAAGCTTAAGAAGTCACAATATCTTGTAAAATACAAACCGTGAAACTGGTAATTTTAAAAGCAAAGGTTCATTTTCAAGGATTGTTAAACGAACTGCAAAAGTCTCTTAAAACATTTGTACCGCCCTAGAAATTTCACACTGGCCACCGATATCGCAGTTTTTTTCTCTCCTTGGCAGTGCCATGTAAGGATTTTCATCTAATACTCAAGCAGATCAAAATACAGGGCTTCGTTGGTTACTCCCACCGTCACCGCTGGCCTGAATGGATCCAACGTAATATTCAGTGGATTCAAGAGGTACGTTTAACCTGTTACCCGTTGCGTTTGAGGTGTTATTCACGATTGCAACTTCATATATTTTTGCTTTTTCTGATCTCAGATGGGATTCAAGCTATTCATGGTGACAGACGACTA